CTGTGTACATCTTGGTCTATGTCTGGTTTTTACTACCTCAGCTCCTTCTCTGCTGGTTCCATCTTGCTTGGTATCGCCTACTGATTACTGGAACATAAAATCAGCTTTCTCAATTGCTTCTTTTGAAAAAATACTTCTGTATTTACTAGTGCTCTTAAGAGCAACAAACCTAAAAGTAACAATATACCAAACCTGTATTTGATAATTTTTTTTTTCTTAAATACTTGTATGCATCTGAAAGAAAAACAACTGTGGATGGATGTTATCCCCCTGTTTTGTGTTTAATTCTGGTAGAGCAACTCCAGAGCTTGAAACATGATCTCCAAGGGCAGGAAAGGTAATTTAGATACTTGCAGCCCTCCATTACACACAGTGCACAACACGCCACAGCTTGGGGCAGCGCTTAGAAAATTCTCCCCGTTCCTCCAAACGCAGTTGTTTAACACGGCTGTCCCCATCACATCAAACAAGGAGATATTTATTTGGACAGCAGTCCAGGAACCAGACCCCAGAACAATTTCAGTGTGACTCCTGGAAGCCTTCCCTGCAGCACTCCCTCAGCTCCCAGGTGGCCCTCGCAGCACGGAGCAGGGCCTCCCGCTCTGCCTCGCGCATACCGCAGCCAGCCCGCACCCCTCCTCCCTCCCCACCACCAGCCCACTCCTGCTGCCACATCCACGCCGCAACGCTGACCAGAGCTTGCACACGTGTAAGGACGGGAGCAGCACTGGAAGGAGCCTGAAGGGTCGGGCAGACTGCGGCTGGCTCTCTCGAGCCCACGGATGCTTGTACTCCTCTGTATCGCGGGGCAGGAGGATGCTGAAGTCATGCTTTTAGAGCACGGCCAGAAATAATTAGTTTCTGTGTTCTGGCATTAACCGTGCTGCAGTTGAGCTTCTTGTGTGTGTTTGCCAGGAGACTTTTGCAGATAAAGGGAGAAAGAAAGGTGGGAAGAATCATTCGTCTTTTTTGAACATTGAATAGAAAACAACTCCCTCTAATCACGACACAGAAGTACTGCTATGTCCACAGGCAGAGCCTCAGCACAGATTTGAATGCTCTGCTTCTTGACACTGTGGCACCAGACATGCCTGGAGAGCAATGAGCCTGAAGTTTTGTATGCAGCCTGAGACACAAGAATTAGGGCACCCTGCCCGGCTGTGGGACACGTGTAAACTCATCAGCAAAACTCTGGGCCATCGGGGCTTTTCCTCTGCTAGCTCCAGAGAAGTTGTGGGATGCAGGTGCTGGACCCTGCCCCTTGGCAAGCTTTGTCCACGTGTGCTGGGGCCTTAGCAGTGGCTAGAGGATAGGGAATTCCAGTTCCTCAGCTCCCAAAGCCACAAGAGAAAAGCGGCATTAACAGATTTCTGTGCTTCTGGCTGCTGCCATGGCTGCGCACCGCCCCCCATAGAGCCCACGGCTGCGTACGCCCATCTTCCTGCATCTAACAGAGACTGCATGCACATCAGAGGCAGGAGAAGGTGGGGAGATAAGGGGGAGAAGCTTTAAACATTGCCAGGTCAGCGCAACAGGAGGTAAGCAAGTACAGAGGCTGCAAGGAGTACTGAAAGTTTTTGATATACTCCCAAGTGGACTCCCCAGCGCCTGTAAATGTTTCAAAGGGGGATCCCCTCTCTGTGTGCGTGGACAAATTTCAAAGGAGTCCCAATCAGTGCAATGTTTCAAAGACCTCTACTCTCTACAAAATCCACCCTGAGCCCCCTCCCCGCCCTCCCCCACCCCAGGCTGAAAACATTTCTAAATAGATCCTATCCTGTCTAACTGTAGCTGAAGAGGTCTGCTCTGCTGCTTCCAGCCCTCCTACAGGCCCCAGTGTAAAATGAAACATAACATCCACCATTTACCTCCTCTGAGGATGGATCCAGCCCGCTCCTTCTCCAGGGACCCTGTACAGGACCCAATATGCCTCCGTGTTTGTGCACAGGATATGAAGGGCTAAAGTGCAGAGGGGTAATTTTTCAAAGCAGTGCGTGGGAGCAGCACTGGAAATTCCCCGCATATTGCTTTGAAAAAAATAACCCCTGACTTCCATGAATTATGAGCAGGGCCTCTGACTCCAGCCTGAAGAGCTGAGAGGTGGAGGAGGGACAGCCAACTGCACTGGAGGCACTCTCCACAGCTATGATGTAAGAAATAACTGACATCTTTAATCACATTATGGACACTGCTACTTAGGGGGCATCACGCCTACAGATCGGGGATTCCTTTGTTGACAGTCACTTGAGCAGAATGAAACTGTAAGCAAGCGTTTAGGACATCTGTCAACTATTGATTTTGTGTTTTGCAAAGTATGAGAAGAAAGTGCAGCTGAGAGGTCTTGGATTATCAAAGCCAAGTGTGGTTTTTTTTACCTAAAACTACATGTCAAGGCTAACTTCATTGTCTTCGCTCACTTCAGATTCAAATGAGATAAAAACCTCTCCCTGGAAATGCTTATCCTACTCAAACTCTTATCTTAGATTGGTATCAATCATTCATTTTCCCCAGACGGCACCTCAATGACTATATTAAAGCAGACACCTTAATTTCAGACAGACACGAACAAGTTCATCTCACTGAGCCAGATGCCAGCTCCTTAGCAGGCACAACCCAAGAGCAGGGTCTCCCCAGTCCCCGTGCACCTGAATGCTCACTTCAGGATCATGAGACAAACAAATCCTCGGGTGTAGGTCTTGCACTGACAACAGTGACGTTAGCAACTGCTGTGACACAGACCTACAGAACAGATGAATCAGCTTCTTTCTCTCACTGCCATCTGACAAAGCTTGGTCTAACACCAAGGAAACCTCTTCCACTCCGTGTTGTACCATCAGTAGGACAGCCTGAGAGATGGCAAGGGACGTGCTTGTTTCTCCTGCAGCCTGTGAAAGGGATTAAGGCTCTCAGGCTTTGAACAAAGGCCACAGGAGCAAGCCCAGGAAGCAATCCATCACTCCGCTGACAGCACTACGCAAATTATCACCAAATATCTGCACAGGATTTATTGGTAGAGAAACCGAGGCACCTAGCCTCATCTCCCAGATGCAGCATTCCCCAGTAAAGAGCAAACGCCAACAGGAGACTCACTGACACCATGTTTTTGGAGGCAGACCCATGTTCCAAAAAGGGCCAAGAACCTGTGAACAGGCTGAGCTGCTCCACAGCAGGAGGAAGAGGGCTCCTCACCAGAGGTTTCTATACTTCCCTCTTCCCCAGTCTCCACCATAAGAAGAGATGACTTCATGAATGTTCTCAGCCCACCTCTGAGTAAAAAGATACAAAGACATGATCCCTAAGTGGAAAGATCAGTTGTTTTCTTACCATTCTGGCATTTACAATGTCCTAGGTATGTGCAACTGAGGTCACGTATACCTTTGCTTTTATATAGGCTTTTTCAAAATATCTGTTAGAACTTATGCACAGCTTCAAGGAAACAAAGTACAGTTTTCACAAACCACAGCACCACACTTTTCTCAGCCTCCTTTGACTTACAGCAGTGTTGTTTTCCAATAGCTCTCTAATACTGAAACTTCTAATGACATATACATCATCATGTATTATTCCAGACAGCAGTAATTTGGAGATATAAATAGATAAACTTCACACATCAATCACTGTAAAGAAATTACTTCTTTCCAGAAGGAGAAAGAATTCCTCTCTCAAATCAAGCAGAACCTTAATTCAACATTCCATGAGCTATGAATTTAAAGATCAGTGATCATTTACTGCATCACAACTTGGGCTGAAGCGATAAGCTTTACCACAGACTCCTCTCTTTCAGCCTTTTACTAAAAAATTCTAGGGGGGAGCTGTATGAAATCACTGTGGTCTAATTAACAAGGATCTCACTCTTCAAGCTTGCAAACAAGAGATTACATTAACACCTGCTACAAAAGCAAACATTTTTAGATATCTTCATCTTAACCTGCTTGACATTGACTTGAAACTCCTGCCTGGCTCTGGAATGAAAATTATTGTGACTGACACATATATCTTTCATGTGGGGGCAGGGGGAGCGAATTCTGTGTCAGTCTGAATTTTTCTCTCTCTCTCTCTCTGGTATTTATGCATAATTCAAATCAAAGATAATAGGAGTTACACACATACATTGATGGGAGAAAGTTTCCTAAATGTAAAATTATTGAAGGAAAATCACTATGCTTATGGGAGATAAATGCTGCACATGAACATATGAGACACACAAAGTGTTCTATAGTCTATGGAGGTTCTCATACAACATATACCGACAGTGGCATGTGTAAGGAACTCCTCTGTGGTCTGTGCATCAAAGTAAACTGACCTCTTGGGCCAACACATATATTCCTAACATCTGTACATACATTTCTTTGCATTCGTCAGAAAAGAAATCATCCAGCTGCAGCTGGAATACAACCCATCACATTACAATAATGCTACTTCAGACTCCTATGACAGGACAGTAACAGAGGCAGCAGGCACTGCTTTTTAAACCACTTCTGTATCTCAAAAGTTGAACTTTCTGAAGTCCAGAATTGTTGGAACGTGAAAAAAAACCACTGAAATAAATCTGTAAGCTTTTTGTTTTGACAGTGTTCTTCAGGAATTCACCACATTTAGCTGGGAAAATGCTAGCAGTTAAATCTATTCAATGTCATGACATACAAAATTGAAACATAATTGCTCCTAAGTGGTTGACAACTGGCAAGTACTTTTTACGTGGATAGAGAGAAATTTATGCTATCAAATGGAAGATACTGTCAAAAGTTTGATTTTAATATAAATGAAAATGCTAGACGAGGACTCAAAAGGATAAGGAAAAAAGCTCAGCAGTAACACTTTTACAACCACATATTTAAAAAGCTTTGAAGTGAAGAATCATTACATCAAAATCATTTTCCTTGAAAGATAAAAAAAAATAAATTACAGCATGAATATTAACAAGTTATTAGAATAGTGAATTTCAAAGAGTAGCAAAAAACAAGCAGCCCATGAGTGGCCTAGTTTAAAGGATGTCTTACCAATCATATGGTTAGCGACATGGATTTGTATCTCTCTCTCATTCTCAAAGGTCATCTGGCACTTGATGCACTGATAGGTCTTTTTCTGTTTAATAACCAAAAAGAGATTAGAGAAAACTGCACTGTAGCATAAGGCAAGTGTGATCATAAATGTAGCATGTTACGAGCTTCAACTTCCCTCAACTCAGCCCTTTTCTGCTCCTATATCCCCAACAAGGTATCGACTTTGGCTGGACTTACAGGGACCATAAATGCAATCTCTATATAACAGCCTGCTTTTAGACAACTTTAATTTCAACTTAAAACATTTTCAAATGACAGTACTTGAAAGTCTGCTAGAGTACTTTGGCCATAATCAGATTGCTCGTGTCATTTAACCCATTACAGTAACAGCTCCTGTGGAGTGAAAGAAAAGGAATTCTGTTTTCACAAAAAGATCAACTTTTTCAAAAAATTCCGTCTTTACAGAAAGCAGCAGGAAAACACATAATGGTTATTTGGGGAAGTGAAGGACAGGAGGAGAATTACATTTTGCACTGGCTTCCCATCAGAAATCATGGAAAAACTGCATTACCACAAATAATGGTTTTCTACTACAATCTCTTGCAAATGTTCTCTGCCACAAAGTCATACCAGGGAGGCTTAGCTGCAGAAATCAGGAGATAGTGTGAAGAGGCAATTACATGAAGCATTTATTCAAATAGGAGAAATGGAGTTTGGACTCAGACTGACAGCAGTGCATGCACTTGAGCAATAAGACAGTGAAAAATTCAAGAAACCATTTGTAGAAATGAAAACGCATAGGACAAGATAGGCATCCAAGTTAGGAGAAAATAAAAGGCTAGTGCTAAGCTTTTATACACTTGGACATTTCCCAAAGCAGGACTACTGTGCTCTGGTCTAATGTGCATGCTCAATCACTGCATGGGAACAGGTTATCTTAAGAGACATTTTCTGACATGCAATTTAGAAAAATTGGGCCTTTTGTTCCTATTTCTTCCTAGAGAATAACTCCTACTACAACAGTTGCCACCAGCAGCTGGCTGTTTTTGCTGCTTGTGCACTAAGGTACGAGTGTAGCCCTATAGCAGGACTGTATGGCAGCAGAACACGTGTGAAATACCCCACTCATGCCTTGACTCCACTGGCAGATGGATGAGAATCCCAAGCCATTAGCAGTGAGGAACCTAACTCAGTAAATGATATCCTCTTACATTTTTGAGACAAAATATTTTGTGGGTATTTTTTGTGCACTGTTAGATGAAAATAACTTTTTCTTATGGCCTCCACCCCACAGCAAGGTACAGAATCCCATTTTTAGGACAGCAGTAATAAATAAGAAGTTTTGAGTTAAACAGAGGAGGTGCTGTCATTCCCTCTGCGTATGGGATCCAATTTCCTTGAGCACCTGCTGAGGAAATAACAAATTAGGTGCTGCCAGGAGCTTCATAACTACTTCCCATGTCATCAGTGGCAACAAGTTAGCCTGCTGGAGGTTAATGAACATGCTAAAATATCACAACGACAAATGCAACCATCTATGGATGGTATGCACATTCCATGAATTCAGTACACAGTATGTGTTTGCACATAGGCAGGGCTTTCTAGGCTAAAATAACAATGGGCAATTAACATGATAATAGGAAGAAAGATAGACTCCATTGGCTGAAAACTGACACAGCCAACCGTATTAAAGGAAATACTTTGGATAGGCTAGTTATCCCTAGGTAGCTCAAGAAAGTATCCTCCTGGAATCCATTCTGAAATCAAGGCTGCTAATGGAAAAGCAGCTGGACTTCTGCAGCACTGTTTCTTGGGAATCTATTGCAACAGACGAGTGCAAGCACACATACATACACGTATTCTCAAGCCTCAAGCACACTGGCATACACATGCTAAGGGGAAAAAAATAAAGAATGCAAAAATTCTTAGAAGAAAAAAACAGGAATGAGCTGTGAATGATTCATGTGGTCACATTTCGAACTTGAAACCTTTCTCTTCTTTGAAACTTCAAAGTTGACTAACTTCTGTGCCTTGTTCAACGCTTATCTGTGTTATGAGGGTTCCCTAACTGGCTAAGAAAGATTGTTTCAGCTCAACTTCATTTCAAGCTTTTAAACTTACATTAAACACAGACAAGTGATTTATTTTTTAAACTGATTTAAAAAGCAGAAAGCTTCTGAAAGCTACTTACTAACAGATCTGGAAACAGGATGTCTTTGTTTATCCCCAGACCCTGCACGAACTCCTCCACACCATTTCACAAACTTATAAAACGCTCTGCTTGGTGTGACCACCCCTCAAAGACAGCAGATTTCAGACTCCTGTGAATATCATCTTTAGCTTCAGCCGATACACACATCACATAACCAAAGAATGGCTTGGGTTGGAAGGGTCCTTAAAGCTCATCCAGTTCCGCTCCCCTGCCGTGAGCTGGTTGCCACCCACCAGCTCAGGCTGCTCAGGGCTGCATCCAGCCTGGGAGAGATATCTGATTGAAGCAATGGCTCTTTTGATAGCATACCCTGCTTGATACAAAATAAGATCAACACATAGCTTCATACAGGCCACAAAATGACTATAGCTTGATTAGCACCCAAATGTTTATGCAAAAGACAGAAGAGCAGATTTTTTGGCTCGTTAATAATTCTCTTTTTAAAAAAAAGTCAAAACAATTTGATTTTCATTCTCAGAAAATGGGAGGAATTAGTTTTAATCCAAGTGGTACAAAACTTGACGTTCTGCTACCATTTTTGTGAGCACCACGACTTCACAGACAATTGTAGTGGGGTGGTTATCTCTTTTTAATGTTTTGTCTTTATGTATGGTAACAAAACAGAAGCCCCAGTTCTGAGGAGTTCATAGTCTAGGTGACAGCTTCAAGGTGGCAAAAGAGACCAGATGAGCAGGTCTTCAACTGAGAGCTCAATCCCTATTAAGTCAAGATACTTCACTCTAATCTTGGCACAAAATAGCAGTAATAACAACAGGGGGGTCTGGTTTCTTTTCTGAAATAACTATTGTTCCCATGGGTTTTCCAGACTGTCCTCCTTTAAATCTGGAAATGGTTTCCTGTTCTACAAAGAAAATATTCCTCCATTCAGTGGATTTACAAGGGTAGAGAAGGGGTGGGGGGAGAACAAAGAGAAGGATTTGAATCCAAGAAAGAGTGCAGGAGAAAAGGAACTGAGTTAAAGGAGCACAATGGGGTTCATTCTTCTGATTTTCTATGCCACCTCCTTTGCTTCTTCAGTCTAAATAACCTAGGTGGGCTAAATAAAGAAACACCATTCAAGATGGAAATTTAACTGAAGCCAGACTATTTGCCCTTTTCAATGTTAAACAAGAATAGTTTGTGATGATTATCGTATAAAGTAAGGATAAATCTGTATAAGAGAAAGAGTAGCCTGAAAAGTGACTGTTTCCAGTATCAGAAGAGATAATAAGAAATCTCAGTACTAAACAATTTGTCACATTTCTCAGGACAGGCACATCCCTCCTGAAGGTGTTAAAAGGAATTAATAAAATGTATTCAAAACTGAAGCTCCTACGCACAGAAATGTGTTCACTAAAAATGAAAGCATTGCTTCTGATGTGATCATAACAGAATTAAAAAGATCCTGAGCTACACATGTGCCAGACACCAGAATGGTACCTATACTGGTGATGTTCATCAAATAAAAGAAACTTTTAGACCTACTGAGACAGAAGAACTCATGTAGAACTATAAGAATCAAACATAAATTGATGGAAGAGTTGCCTTTTGCTACTAAGGTGTATTTTATTTATTCCTCTTAGTGATACCCTACACTAAATACTACTGACATGGCTTAAAACTTCCTAATAACAAGTCCTCTGATGCAGATGTTTCCATGCAGAGGAAGCAAAACCTCCGTCCACCCAGAAATCTTCTGTGACTGTCATGAACAGATCCTACTGAGATGTTTTACAAAGAAAGGTGATTAATTCTTACGTATCTCTTCTTGGTTGTCTTTTTTTGTCATAATAAAATGTGAGGAAGACAGAATGCAATGGCATTTTCGAGGGTTATGTTTTCTCTCTTTTTTCCTAATGGATTAAAGCAAAACAAAACAAAGCCTGCCAAGCAATTCTAGGTGCTTTTTGATAGCACATGAGAATGAAATATAACTATTTATACTCCTCCTTGTGGTGCTACATCCACGTGCACACAGAAATAAACATAAATATAAACAATAAAAAGGAATGGATTGTTTTCTTCTGATCTGTTTTCCTTCTCAAATATTACCACTTGTTATTCATCGGGAGCTAGTAGTTATTTTCTTCCCTTATTTCATTATGGGGCTAAATCTTCACTTTTTTCTTCTGAAATTATACTAGGCTTCCATGCTCTTTAAGAAGTATAACTGCTGGTATCATGATATCCATTACATTCAGAGAAGTTGTGCATTTTTAACATCATCCTTTCTAATTACTAGGATTTCATTCTGCTCTTTCTTATTTACTCCAAAGAATATACTCACTATTTAAAATCTAACCTTTCTGCATTTTCTTTCTGGGTCTACTTGTTCCTAATCTTCAAGTGCTTTTCTGTTTAAGAAAGAAAAATCAATAAAGTGTTTAAAAAAGAAATCTGGAAGTGCCCAAGAGCTGGAGAGAAGTGACTCACATGGGTTACTCTACATGCTTTGAGCTCTCAGACAGCTCTGCTAAAGCGGTGTTACTTTGTACAGCACTAACAGGATGACAGAATACTGTATTCAACTTACAGAGCTTCATTATGAAGCAAATGAAGTTAAGTAAACATTCTTGAAATACAGGAATTTATCAACATTTAAAAGAGATCATGGTTCTCTGACAGCCCCTGTGCTAGGCAGACACAAAGAGCACTCATTATCTTGAGAAACCTGAATGAAACACCAATAGTTTCCGCATGAACTGACATCAGAATTCAGGTCTTGTACCTACAATAAAGGCTAAGATAAGTAATTATTTCTAGTAACAATATATCTATTCCTGGGATGCATACCATAAAGATCTCTGATATTAGCATATGTACAGGCCATAGACACCTGTAGAAGGTACCATTTGCCATTGCCACAAATGCAGATTTTTCATTATCTTTTATAAAGGAACTAAGATCTGCCCTCATGGGATGAAATTCAAAGCATTTACCTTATTGGAGAACTTAAAACTCTCCCCTGAGGGAACAAGTACGGAAGCTCTCGCTGAAAAGAGAGAGTTAAAGCAAGAAATCAGAGCAGAAAATGGCAATGTATTCTGCTTCTGACAGTCAGTAGGCAAGAAAAGGCAATACTTCAGGCTACAGGCATGGTCATACGAAGAATTAGTTCTACCTAAGAGAATAGAAGTGTTTAAAAGGATTTAGAAGGCAGTAAAGACAGAGAAGGAGCAGGCAGAATGACCTAGTCAGAGTTCCAGCTGAACTCTCAAAAGGTATCAGTTTGAAGGAGGGATGTTTTCATTCCTTACTTTTCTGCAGAATTTGCAGGATTAGGTGTATACACCAGGAGCCTTAGTCACGGACCTAGGGGAACAATATCCAGTTGTTTTACTCTAAAAAGAAAAGAGAGAAAAAAGAAAGAAAAGAAGAAAGAAAGAATGGAAAGAAACAGAACTTTTTGTGGCATTTCATCAGCAGCCTGGAACAGAGGTGCTGGGGCGAGCGGTGCCGAGGGCAGGCAGTGCTGCGCTCCGGGCTGCCCAGATGCTGCCGCCCTGCATGGTCCCAGCATCGAGCTGGAGCTAACAAGTCCCAGCGGGGCTCAGCTTGTGATAGCACTACTGGAGGCATCACAGTTTGCGTCCTCAGGACATACTTAGGGTCCTTTCTTACTTCCTGAGCCTCTGATGTTGTATTCGAGCGGTATTTACAGGTTCTTTTAATGCAGTGAGATGTGTTTGTGGGTGCTTTAATTAGCAGATTGACATAAACAGGCATCTACGGCTGGAATTATTCATTAGGAGTTGGGTGCCTAATTTCCTTAGATACTTTTGAAAATCTCACCCCATCATGTTTAATTAAAAATGTCAGATGATATCAATACTCAGATGTGTCTGCTGTTGGTCTCCCGAGAAGATTTCCAAAATTTACTTCTCATTCCATCTGTTCCTGACAGAGGCAGGACTGACTTGGCCCATTCTTGAGCCAAAACGTCAACAAATAATTTTAAAAGACTATAAACTGCAAACAATATTAATCTCCTGAGCAGTCTTCTGAAACCTTACTTAGATGCTGCATGTTCCCATGCATGGTGTAAGCTAAGAAATGGGAAAACAGGCTATTGGTAAACTCCAGAGCAGAGCATACTTCTTTTTTCAGACACGTAACCTACCAGACAGCAATTTCCAGATTTGCTAAAAAACTACTTCTCCTGAAGGAGGACTATGAAGAAGTTCCCTTTAAAATCACTTTTGAAGTCACACACACATGCTCACAATGAATGCATGGACAAACATCCAAGCAGCCTCACAGCATTCACCCTTGCAGACATATGTGACAAGCTCTCTAGCACAGAAATTGGTTTCAGGTGAGAATTTTGGGGGAAATTTGCTACACCTTTTATCACAAGTTCCTCTATCTTCCTGCTTGAGTTTATTTCCCAGGTAAGAAACCATGCCATTCCCTGAGTATGACAAATCAGATCTTTTACTTTTGGGAACTCAGAATACCCTTTTTCATGGAAATGTCCCAGTTTTTCCAGATCTGCCAGTTCAGTAGCACCAGAATTCATGGACTCAGAATTCAATCCTCACCACTCACGTGAACTTATGTGTCTAAGCTCTCTGTTGGTAAATCTAGAACAGCTTTACGATAAAAAAATTAATGCTCTGCTATTAGGAATCTACAAGCCTGTAAGACTGCACAAAATCTAATTCTTCTATATGCATTACTCCTCTGGATTTTTTTTGTTTAACTAATTTTACAAAACAGGATTTTAAAAAAAGCTTCTCAGTCACATTAAAAATCTGCATATGATCCTTCTGACATTCCAAAGTTCAGTTGTACTCACCCTGGGAACAGGCGACGTCTGGGTACCTTTCCTTTGGCCACTAGTCTCAGGTGTCAGGTCTCGGTGGTCAACCTGAATGTGGCTCTCCAGGTCTTCAGCACTTTCAAATTTAACACTACACTCAGGGCACCTCAGACTGCCACACGGCCTCTCATTCACTTCCTGTGGGGTCAAGCCTGAAGACTGTCCATTGGTGCTCCTGGTCATGCATCCAGCACAAAGGCCATAGGGCAGGCCATTCACATCCAATTTTACCAAGTCCTGCTTGTTCCGGAACTCTTTCAAGCACAGTGCACACTTGTAGAGTTTTTGCAAGGCCTGGCCATTGGGTGATGAGGTCGCAGAGTTTCCTGCCAGTTTCTGCATATGAAACGTCCCATGAATTTTCAGCTCAAGCGTAGAGGTGACCGTCTGCATGCAGACAACGCAGCGAAACCCAGTGAGGGAGTTTCTGAGATCTGGATGCATCTGGCAGTGTTCGATGAATTCCTCCTCACTCTGCAGTGGCATTTTGCAGATCCGACACGTTCCTGTATCCAAACTCTTGCTGTGAGTGACTTTGTGCTCAGTGAGGGTCAGGAGCGATGGGAAGCGCTCCCCACAGATGGGGCACATGTAGTGCTTTGCCGGGCCTCGATGGGTCTGCATGTGCTCTCTCAGGCCATTTTCTGAGAAAAAGGTCCTTGAGCAGATATTACACTTGTGGCTACCTTTGATGAACTCCGCTTTCTTCCTAGAACAGTCGTCCTCCCCAGGCCTGATGTTATGATCTCTCAAGCGATGGTTTTGCAAGAGGACCTCCATAGTATAGGCAGCGCCACAGATGTCACAGCCATACATGGGCTCAGAAGCATCTACATCATCCTCACTGGCCTCATGACTGTTGGAGGTATCTGGATTCTTCATTAACATGTTCTGGATATCTGCCCCTTCTGTCTTCTTATTTGTTGGGGTCATGCCATTAGCTGTACCATTTTCAGTGCTAGCATCAAAAACGCAGTGTTTTTCCCGCAAGTGTTTTTCAAGCAAGATGATGGCATGAAAAGCTTTGCTACAAAACTTGCAGTTGTATTTTTTGCTGTGGGTTGTGATGTGGCACTGCAGTTCTACCTCTGTGCTAAAAGTCTCACCACAGAAGATGCACTTGTGAGACTTTGATGGATTCCCCAAGTGACTATGCTTCACGTGGATTTGGAGATCCACCTCCTTCCTAAAATCCCAGTTACAGGCTGTGCAACGATACATCTTCTTTTCATTGCTGTGCTTGACTGCCAGATGCACTTGGATAGATACCTTGGAATCAAAAACTTCTTGGCAAAGGGTGCAGTGATACAACACAAAAGTATGCATGTCCAACAAATGCTTCTGCAAATCATCCACTGAAGAAAACTGTTTGTCGCAGCTCTCACATACATAATGAGTTGAAGTTGTCATGTAATGTACGGTGAGATGTTGCAGGAGAGACTCCTGGGAATCAAAGTCTTCTTTACACTGAGGGCAAGACTGTTTCCTCAACAGCAACTCCAAATGCAACTTTAAATGAGTTTGAAAACTCTCAAAATTTGAGAACTTTAGATCACACTGATTACACGGATATTCACCATTAGACACCGAGTTTACACTAGCAGAAAGCCGTTGCCTTTTAGGGGAAGAGACTTCAACATCAGAAGAAACTGGACTCTGCTCTGCTTTTGACTTCTTATTGTGTGCCAGAGGAATGTTCTTGTGGTTTTCTTTAATATGCTTTGTAAGCTTCAGGATGGAGCCAAAAATGGGGGAGTTTGTGCAATAAGGGCATGAATAAACTTCCATAAAAGACTGTGTTGGCTGAATGACAGGGGAATCCAGTTTTGAATTTCCTACATTGCAGTGAGTCTGCTGAATATGCTCAGTCAAGGTTGCTTCGGTCAGAAAGCCCATTGAGCACTGGTTACAGAAGAAAGCGTTGTTACCATCTTGAGGGGTAGCATTTGGACCACAGTGAGTAATACGGATGTGTTCCTGTAAGCTATTGATATCTGCAAACATCTCAGGGCAGTAGTTACAGTGAAAGGCAGAAATGTTGCTAAACTGCATCATGGGATAAGCATGGTTTTTGTGCACCTTTCTCACGTGTTCATTCAAGTTGTACAGCGTAGGCATGGAATCAAGGCAGATCTGGCACGTGTGGCTTTGTTGAGGTTTGTCCGCATGGATGGTCTTCAGGTGGATCTCAAGCACAGCAAGACTGTTGAAGTCGCGCTTTGAGCAGTATGGGCAGCTGTAAGTAACTTTAGACCAATTCTGGCCTTCCTCTCTGTCCACAGACCTGATTTTCTTTTGCCCTCTCAAAGGCTTTAAGGTCGAATCCGGGGTGGAACCTCTCTCCACCGATGCACTGGAGTCGGGAGTCGCACTGCTCATGGATGCCACACTGCCCAGGACTGGGTCAGGGCTGATGCTGTGATTGCTGGAGTCAGGTTGCCTGTGGCTGTCCAAGTGGCAATAGACTTCCTCCACTGAAGAAAACTGCTCCGGGCACATAGGGCACTTGTGTTTTTTGTTGGCATGGGCTTGATGAATGTGTGAGAGCAATAAGTTTTCATCTGAAAATACTTCAGGGCAATGAATACACTGCAAATCTGCCTTCTCAGAAAGCTGTGGGTGGCGTGTCATTACGTGCTTCTCCAATTCTTCAGTCTGACTGAATGTCTCTTCACAGTAATCACACATAAAATCATCCTTCTTCACCTCTTTCTCAGACTTTGCCATATGTTCCTTGTTCTTTTTATGAGCTTGCATGTGACTCTGCAATGAGCTGGTAGATGAAAACCCACGTTTACACACAGTACACTTGAATGGTTTGCTGGAGCTGTGGGTTTTCAGATGAATTTTGAGGTGGTCGCTGCGAGAGAATGCGGCCTCGCACTCGTGGCAATGATACTTTTTGTCCCCCGTATGAAGCTTTATGTGACGGTCCCTACTCCTCTTGTGTTTAAAAAGCCGGCTACAGTAGGTGCATTTGAAAGGTAGTTTGTCACTGTGGATCTGCTCGTGTCTCTTAAGGTAGCTCAAGCGAATGAAGGACTTATCACAAAACTGACAGGGATACGGCAGGCCAGTCCCCCCTTCCTCCTCCCCGATGCCGAGATCACACCCATCTCCTATCATCTGAGTGGGTGATGCAACATCTTTGCTGGAGGGAGATGAAGCCACCCAGGAGAGTTGTGGGTCGTCATCACCATCTGTAATGGGAAAGCAGAAAGGAGATTAAAAACAATTCCCAGTGCATCTGTGAAATAAGGACAAAGCTCTCAACAACACTACGGGCTTCTGCTACTACAGCACAAAAAAATCAGCTCAAAAAATAAAGAGTATCTCTCGAATTTCAAAGGAGGTTTGAGAAATAAAAATATATTTGTAAACGTAATTCACAAATAAGCCAGCATGTATTATTAATAAAAATCATTTTTTCCTTAGCAGGTTTAACACCCGCTCACCGTACCGTAAAGCAATAAACACTGAATAAAGAAAACAAAACACAGTGTGCAACGAAGCAACACGAGCATCTCGGGAAGCTCCAGTGCTAAGCGATCACCTGCGATTCTAAGGGCCTTTTTCAACGCTACCTCAAGGTGACTTTAACTGATGTCTCCATTAACCAACATCCCTCACTTCTGCCTCACAACTGGCACAGAACGGGAGGCCGCAGGCAGCGCCCAGCAGGCAGTGAGGCGCGAGACGCAGGGCGGGGCGGCCCAGCAGGCACCGCATGGAGGGAACGCGTGGGTTTGCACATCTCTGATCCACGACCTCAGCCAGCACGGACAGCCAGCCCCAGCACAACGCTCGGCCTCCACACTGGAGACCACCGCTCTGCTCAGAGCGAGGCTCTGGAAAATTGCTCACCGTTCGGTATTAGAAACGCCCAGGTGCCACCTCCAGCAGCAAAGCACACACTTAAAATTTGAAAAAATACATGACGTGTTGGCAGCTTTCATGAACAGAACTGCTAGCAAGAAACCAGAGTGAGTTTGAATATTCTAATTCCGAAGGACGTCGAGCGGGGCAGAAACGCCGCAGGTCTGGCAGAAAACCGACCCAGGAACGGAGCGGAGCAGAACCCACGAGAGCAGAACCCACGTGCGGGAAAGCCCTGACACACGCGCGCCCGGAAACTCACAGTCCGAGCCAGCTCCGCACGGCCGCCGCTCGGTGCCCGGCCGCCCTCCCGCCCGCGCGCAGCGCTCCCCGCCGCCCTCGGCCTTTCCCGCGCAGCGCTCGGCCCGGCCCGCCCCGCTCGGCGCTCGCTCGGGCCCGCAGGCCCGGCCGCGGTGTCCGCACAAAGTTTGCGCGGCTCTCCTCCTCCCGCCCGCCGGCCTCTCCCCGCGGCGGCCGCGGCGCCTCGGCCCGCCCCGCCGCCACCTCCGCGCCGCTCCGCCGCCCCGCGCTCTCTCTCTGCCCCCGCGGCGGCCGCCGCCGCCCCCAGGCCCCTTCCCGGCCGCCCGCGCTCCCGGGGCCCGTCCCCACGGACCTGCGGCCGCGAGCGGCGGCGGGAAGGAGGCGGGCGGCCGGCAGCGCCGGGACGAGGGGCCCCGGGGGGGAGCGGGTGGCTCGGGGCCGAGCGATTCCCCGCTCGCGCCAGCCGGGCTCCTCGGGGGCCGCGAGACAAAAGGGAGCGCGAGGGGGGGACGCCGGGCCCGAAGTAGGGCGGCACATGTTGCGTGCCGGCCGGCAGCGGGAAAGCGGCGGGGGCAGCGCGCCGCCGGGGCTGGGAGCGCTGTGACGGCCGCGTGAGCGCTGCGGGAACGCCGCCGGCAGAAACGAGGCACGGATACGCGCACCGCGTACGTCTGCCCTTCGCACGCGGGCCGCCCGCGTCTCCGGCCGGACCTCAGAGCTCCGAGCAGCCTCGGGCTGCCGCTGCCGGGGCCCATCGAGCGGACGGCTCCAGGCGCTGCCCCGCCCGGCCCGGCTGCCTTGCCCTCTGAAGCGAGCCGCGCCACCTCCGCACGCGGCGCCCGCGCCCTGCCCTGCCGCCCCGCGAACACTCGGGCCTTCGAGAGCACAGATCTGGCGAGCCGGGGGTTCTGGCTGCTGTGCTAACGTAACTTGGGCTTAAAATAACGACCGTTTCTTAGACCAAAAAGAGTTTGAACTGGAAAGGGAAGCATCCACGTAGACATAGCTGGAAACGAGGGTTGTGTCCTTTTGCCGGCTTCATCGGTGCCTTCCACTGATTGCCGTGGATCCTTCCTTGATTCTGGATCCTTGCACTTGTGTTGCCTCGTTCTTTGACAATTCAGAGGGAACCAGAAGCTCTGAGTTCCAGGGACAGCCTACCTTGACTTTCTCCCAAACAAGATGCTGAATGACTAAATGCCCAGAACTAAAGAAATTAGGAAACGCTCATTATCATTAATCTCTTTATGGAATGAAAAATAGCCCTGTTAATTTCAACTTGCCATTTCAAGTTTAAAAAAAAAAAAAAAAAAAAAAAAAGACCTCTAATGAACTGAGAAGGAAATTCTAAGGTATTTTACCAGAGTAATATTTTACAGGGAAGATTTATTTTAGATGTGGTGTGACATGTCTGGCTATGATGGTTAGAATAATAATTTTACATTAATGCAATCAAAGGAATGTAGCAGAATGAGAAAAATCACTTTCAAAAAGGAGATTAAAGTCATTAAAAATGGCTAATCCTGCAAAGTGGGACTGTTCTAAAATAAAGAATCACATGGCTGGTGTGAGGCTTTTGTCATTAGCGCATAAGAGAATCAAAACAAGTATTAAAAGGGGAAGAAAATTCAATAAAAAGTTTAATTAGGGGGAAAAAAAAGGAGGCATGAAGGAAGCTTCAGGATGTCAGTGATGTTCAGGATGCGTGTGTGTCACAGAGCTTACGGGGCTAAAGTTGATAATCAATCTCCAGTGGTACAGTAATTTAGCAATGTAATGTTCAGCACGTTTATGGGACTGCAGGCATTTATCATCATCACTGTGGAGCTAATTCCAGCCTCAGTGCATTCAATGAGTGTATTTTCCTTCTAATAAGAGCAATTTGGCCAAACTGTAGCATAAATCATACTTCATTCTCTGTTTATCTTCCAGATAGCACAAGCCACGTTCAGAAATATACACATGAAGCTAAAACAATAAAATTAAGCCTTAAAAAATGTGATTGCTTTTAGAAAGGAGACACACAGCACATTGCAAACTGCCAGCAGAAAGCTGCACTGCCTCCTCAGCACACTCCAGTGCCACTGATCTATTTATTATTTCAATGTTACTTTCCTCATAGAAATTAAACAAAGCAGCCACGATTTCCCAGCCCCTGCAAACACTTTTCCTCCCATCTCCCCTGCAAGGCTGGAAGCATCCCAGCCGTCAGAACTTCAGACTGGGGCTCAGGAGCACCAAGTGCTCCTGCCCAGGCAGCAGCTGGGCTCCAGGCTCTGCCGAAGAGACCTGCAGAGCTCCCATCTCAAGCTGGCAAGTGCTCCTCATCCAGAACAACAAGCCACAGAAGTCAGATTGGAAGGTGCTCTTACTCCATTGGGTTTGTCCATCTAGCACAAAAAGAATGGTTACAATAACAAAAAGAAAGCCCCAAAATCAATTGTGAAGATGGTTGTTTAACTTCAGATTCATGGTTTTTCCAGAGCCTCTCCACGACACCTACGTTAAAATGCTCAAAACACTCAAATTGCATTAGACTATTAGAAGCTGATGGAATTCTGGCACCCAAAATAAGTAAGCTACTTTCACAAACAAGCTTGGCATCATGAGACATGTATAAAATGCTCGTGTTTCAGTTCATCGCATCCATGGTAGGGAAAAGCCATCTGCTGCTCAAGGGCAAATTGTAGGGCTTACTTCTGGATAGCTGTGAAGCCCCGAGACATCCTCAGACAGAGGGCCTGATAGGAATGTTATCATTTTCAATTATTATTATTATCACAGATGCTTATCTATGAGAATACAACACAAAGATTGAGAGGAAAGGATGGTGAAGTGTTCAGTAGTGGTTATAGCAAATTTTGAATTGCTCCACTATGCATTAACACCAAGGATAGATCATTACAATGGATTATGGTAAGAACCTCACACAGCATACACTGTTCATTTACACTGCCATGCCGGTGTGAAATAATGCAAATCAAGTTCACATACCAAATGTTTTAAGTTTCAGTGTTTTCAGTGCACTGTCACAGATTTTACTTTTATTTTTTCTTTATTTGACTGTGTATTCCCCCTTTCCTGCAGATTTCCTATACAAACATAACATGGTAAATAATATCAAATATCAAATAACAACTCAATTGTTATGGATGCATTGGCTTCACTGACTGATTTTGTCCTTTGTCACAGACAGCAGTGGGGCACTACGAACCGCAGCTCTGTGGCCAACAAAAGCCATTTGATGCTGACATCACCCCCACCTGAGCAGTGCCAGGACCATTCCACTGTGCCTGAAACCCAGCGTCACTGTGCACTGCAATGCACTTCGCTGAACAATGGAAAAGGGCTTCCACCACTCATTTATAACCATCCTACAAAAATACCACACAACTGCACCCAGCACCGCTCAGCACATCCCTGGCTGAGGCACCAGGGAGGCCCTGGGAAGCTCACGCTGTGCTGAGGAACACTGTGCAACTTCAAGCTTCAGAAACATCAGCATCTTCACAAACATTCCTGAAAGCTTTCTTATTTCAAGGCACAATTCCAGTTTGATTTATTTTAACATTTCATGTTCATAGATAAACTGACTGGGGATAAAAAACCCCAAGGTGCTAATAGCAGCAGCTCTGCAGGCAGTGCCTTGGTGATTATCAGTGACTTAAGGAGAAGGTGCTTACACCTAATTGCACGCTGATGTGGTAAGCGTTTGTGTTGGGCTAAATCACCAACACTTACCAACTCTTCTTCCAACTTCTCTGCTTTGCACTGCCATTCATTTTTAAGTGAAGTTTCTAAAAAGAAATAAAGATGCCTGGCTCAATGGAAAATATATATCATCTAATTTTTCTTCTCACGACCAGAGTCACTGGGTACTTAGAATATAAAATCAGCACAAGATGTAGCACAGACTTTCACACATTACATTTGCTGGGATGTCTGCTGTAGATAAACTGTTACGCAGACATTCAAACTTAGCTGCCTTTGTTTAAACCTTTCTTTTGGGATCAAAGAGGCATTTAATTAGTCTTTTTTACACTGAAAGTTAAAAGTACACACA